TTGGCAAGCCTGCTTGGACGACTTCAGCATCGAGTGCCACCACCCGAGCCACGACACACGCTGCACAGCCGAAGAACCCCAGACCTGGCCTCGGGCCCGTCTAGAAACCGACCAGGACGATCAGAACTCGGTGCTCCTCATCCTAGAGTGGAAGCCTCATAGCGGCCTCGACGCTTTTACTCTCGTCCCAGATGGGCTGGCCCCTGTCTCGGAGCTAAGAACGCTGTTCCAGAAGTACCGCAAAGGGCCTGCCAGCATATTGGTGCCTTCGTATCCTGCGATTCCCTTGCCCGAATTGCTGTGTTTTGCGCCTACCCAATGTGACTGTCTTCACTACGAAACGGGGATTGGCAAGAGGTCTATTGTTGCATGTCCATGGTACAACCCTCGCTTCTTCCGTGATAAAAAGCGTCCTCTTTGCTCCTCTGGTCATCGGTACTTCCGGTATGAAAGTGGTCAAAAGATACGCATGGCCAAACATTGGCCTAGGGGTGAGTGCAATCCAGTATGTTTGGTCACCATCTACCAGCAGGAGATTCTGGTCTGCCGCAAGACGGACGGCGATAAGATCAATCCAACCCACATGTGGTTTCACGCGATGGATCCCGCGACTTATCCTCGTCCGACTTCCCTCCATGACTCGCCTTTATGCGAGGAGATGAGTTGCATGAACTATTATCGGAGACTGAAGTCGATAGACTGCAGAGTAACCACTGTCTAAAATTCGATGTTGAAGTCCAATTTTGGTAAAAGGCGGAGTGTCACTTCCTCCATAATGAGAATAATTACTACCTTACGTATATAGATAGATCGAGTGAGTGTACCCGTGCTTCCCTCACTACCTACCTGGTATAGTAGTCAAGACAAAGAGGAAGTTGCAAACGCTCTCAACTACCTGCAGACGGGATAGCCTAGTGAAAAAGGCCGGGAAGCCAAGGTATAAACCCATTATTCATTGAATATTTCGTTTAGGAATAATCGAGGAATATTCTGTATCTTAGTAATCTATCAGTCACCAATAATACATGGAGTTTTGAAGGTAAATGTGGTATCATGCAAAGTCAGGGTGCCCGCCGACCCTCAATGAAGCAAGGGAACCCAAACGCCAATTGCTATGTTAATGCCCCTTCTTTAATACACCCCCATAATCATTCTATCACGTGAATGCCATAATAAAAACTGAGCATAAGGCTAGCAGCATCAATGGCCGCTCAACAAATACGTCGCCCGCGGCGTTCGACCTCTTAGTAGGCGTGGGACTGGGTGTTGGTGATGGTGAAGTAGTAGCCGGGTCCGTCGTTGGTGGGGTGTTATCGGAGCCCTTGACGTGCTTGATCTGGCCGGCTTTGAAGGGAGGTGGTGCCTCCTGGGCAAGTAGTCCCTGAACAGTCTCCAGCGCTGTCATCTGCTGGCCAAGTCCAGTCACGCCATCAAAACCACCAACATACCACTTCTGTCCGCACACGGTGCCGTTCGTGCCTCCAGAGCAGGCCTTCGAGGCCGCAATGGCAGAGGCATTCAGAAGCGTTTGAATACGGGGTAGCGTCGGAGGCATCATTCGCGTCGTCGCCCACATGAAGCGGGAGAGGTAACCCTTGAACGATTTCATGTCGTTGTTACAAACTTCGTAAGGTTCGCAGGCATGCTCGTACATGATGTTCGTCGCATTCTCGTAGGGGCTGAAGTAAGAGTCGTCCGCCTTTAGAAGACCCGAAGTACGGTCTCCCCACGTCTTATCGCCGTTCGTGTAATTATACAAGACCGCAGCGCCGTACATATAAATTCCTTGCGCATACGAGAATGACAGTTTGTTTACCTCGGCACAGTTGTCCTTGCTATCGGCCCCATCGTAAACGTTGAAATTGTTGTCTACGAAACCAACTTTTTCTGACCAGTCCCACACTTTCTGCGCCCACTGGAGATATGTATCATTTCCGGTTGCTCGTGCAAGGCGTGCCGACAATTGAAAAAAGCCGCCGTTGGAGACGGAATTTTTGTAACTCATCCCATTGGGGTTCGACTCGAAGATCTGCCAGGCAAGTCCACCTCCACAACTGGTCTCATTCCACCTGACAACCATTGTGTTCCAGATATTCTCTGCTATATCGAGCCAAGGGGGAGTACTGTCGTCAGGTTGAGGAAAGTTGCGCTCGGCGGCATTAAGAATAGCAAAAGACCAGAATGCCTGGTCGTCGTTCCCTTCTGAGCCGTAATGTAACGGCACCATTAAATCAAACTTGGGCCCGACCTGGCTTAACAGGGCCTGCGTGATGACTTCATCGTAGCTAGAATCACCCGTGTAGTGCGAATAATCCAACATAGCTCCCCAAGCGGCACCTGCTTCCCACCAATCTATTTCTAGGGTCAGCAATCGTTCATGTGGTAAGCAATACGGATGTAAGCTAGTGAGTCTTACAATACGGTTCGGGGAAAACAGCAATAGTCTACAAGTCAATGAATTAGCGACAGCTCAGACAACACGAAACTTTGGGAGCTGGGTTCCATACTTCTGGGGTGTTGGTCACATTGCCGGTGTACCAAGCCATTAATTCATATGCCAGAGTACTAGCAACACTGCGTATGGACGCTTGCATGCGAATTAGTACATGTATCTCTCTATTATTTCAGGATTTGTGAACCTACCTTGGTCGTTGATGTTAATGTCTTTTGGTGGCGTAAATGCTGCTGCCAGCGCAGCAGCATGAACAGATTTCATATACATGCTGGATTGTCTTGATGAAAATAACTGTATCGTCCAGCGAGCTCAAAGACTATAAAATACGCAGAAATTGCAGGTGTTACTGTGTACTCTCAATCGTTTTTATTTTGTACGTCCACTCCTCGAAGATCAAGGGGAACACTAGGTGTAATGTAGCGAATCTTCTTCAGCGGCCAAAGAAGCGAATGAAATTTACAGTTTGCTGTAGGGAACTGGTGAAAGTGACGATGTCGTCTTCTAGGATATCCAATAGGTAATGAGTGACAAAATCTCAAAACGTGTGATAGGTGGAACAATACATAGACTACTGTAGTGATTGTCTAAATCCTACAATGTATCAAAAAAAGGAATAAGAGGTAGGAAGTGAGAAAGAACAATCGGTGCTAGGTAACAAGAAAAGAAAGCAAAGAAAGAGTGACCTGTGACTTGGAAAGGCTTATTGTGATGAGTCTCACAATATGTAAGCGGGAAACAAAGGCTTTTTATTCAGGCCTCGACGTAATCACGGGCAAAATGGTCTATGGGGGACACAACGAGTGGCTGAATTACTACATACCTGTGTATCGGGTTTATTGGTGTTCATAACAGGAAAGTCCTATGCCCTGTCAAAATCAGTAGCTACCGGCATCATGTAGACATGGCAATGCGCCTTGGTTGATTAATGAGATCGTTTAGGAGGCATGGAACGGTCTGTTTTACTAGCAAGTTAGCGATCAACTCCATGTGGAAGAAATGGAGAAGGATAGGCCTGGATTCAGCTTGGCACCAAAGTCATAATGCTCCGCATCCATCAGCCCAGGCACAGCAACGCCGTAAGATCTGTACAACGGCCTTCGGGCCGTAGCGTTGAAGACTCTCGATGCAGGTTTGGGAAGGACCTGTTGTCATGAAGATCGCTCTAGTGGTCGAGATGGCCCAGTGGATTTTCAGGGGTATCGGGGATCCCATGTCGATGATCTATAGCAGCTGGGGAGTGGAGGTATTTTAATTGGCCACTAAATCGGTAGACTTTTCTAGTGGGGCAGAGACATTCGAACTTGAAACAAAACCATTTGAGCTTCCTATTTCCGTCCTTAAACGCCCCGATATATGTCTTTGCCGCGCGACTGCACTGCGCGTCGCTTGATTTTGCTGAAAACACTATTTTTATCATCTATTTACCATTTAAGACAACTCATCGACCGGAGGCTATAGAAGAATTATGTCTAGAAGATATGTGATTCCACCACTGAATAGATCTATCTGCGCCGTTCTCAGCCTTATTGCTCAACCTTCGTCAAATCCAAAGTAGATGAAACTTGTACGGAGTACTATCGGTCCTTGTATACCTTATCTCGCATAACAGACAAGAAAAAGACCTTTAGCTTAACAACATTTATTGAGATTTCGCCAGGATAGTTACCCGGTAACCAAGTATTTCGCATCTCGCTTACCGTACCTTAAAAGATATGTGCATGTCTGAGTCTATTGCCGCTCGCTCAATAGACGATTGTTACACAGGCTCAATTCACCGGGCCTAAGGAAATACAACTTCGTAGAGTAAAGCATTTTACGGGGACCTTGTAGACTGTCGAATCGTCATATTTGATTCCATCTGCGGACATGTTACTACTTCGGATTTCGGATTTCCCCCATCAATTTCCTAACTACCTACATAATCCGTCGTACAACTTGGCGTCAACATCTCCTATGGTACCTTATTACCTACATAGGTTCATACTACTACATATTGTTTGCTCTCCTTGTTTGCTAACAATACCATTCCGGAATTGAGATGCCAAATCCACTCTATCAGCCCTAAAGGTAGGTACCAAGTCGGCCTCTCAAAGTAATCACAACTCAGAATGACGCCACAGCGACCAGCAAACTCGCAGTCTCCGGCCTCATCACATTTGCCGTGACATAAGAACTGCCATCGCCCGAGCAGTAACGTAGTAAACGACACGTACCGGCTAAGAAATGAAACCGCCGAGTCCAGCATCTGTTGTACGATGTTGCGATTACTGACGAGGGCAGCTTCATATGCAGATATGTATGGCGGGTGTGACATGAAGCCAATAATGCAAAGGCCTAGACAAAACACAGCACAGAGGATGAAGAATAAAAAAAAAAGATGATAGTATTCGAAAAAGTAAAAAAATGGTAAGGGATGTGTAGGTAGGTACCTACATAATTTACCGCTGGACTGGAAGGTAAAAGTAAAGAAGAATAACTGTTAAAAATGATATTTTGCAAAATATCGCAAAAAGACTGGTACAGGAGGAATCTAACCTCCAGTTACTGGACTCGCGGGGAATCGAACCCCGGACCACTCCCAAGCCGCACACGGATCTCAGAGACCGTAGATGCTAAGGGAGTATTATACCACTAAACCACAAGCCCGTAACTCCTTAGTAGGAGCTTTAGCCAACGACCGACTGAATCGGAGGGTGGTTGATTCGTGACAATGCGGCATTTTTCGCAAATCATATACCTTTGTGCGCCCGAACAGTAAGATCATAGGTGACATCGGGTTCTAGCACTGTACGCGCGGATCAGCCCCGCTTTCTTCTCGAAGACTAGAACGCCATGAACGCAACATGAACTAGGCGTATCCGCATACAATGTGGCCATCAAGGTGGCTGACTTGACGGACTTGACTGTAATCCCAACGCGGCGAGTAAGAGATAAGTTCGGACGTCCTTTGCATGAGAAAATGCGCCGCGTGGATACGTCACGGGGGCCGAGGCCAGGAGTTAGGTCCGGAAGACGCGTCGTTGTCACTAGGAGTGTACAGATACATGCTAGATGACACAACCATTGAGCTCGGAGGTTAGCCTAGCACTTTCGCTAGTCCGTTCAGTTTCATTCCCTGTAGAGTAGAAGAGGTCGAAGTCATGAATAATGATAGAAGAGCAGTGTTAGGAGCCTAGGGATGGGAGTATAAAGAGGACTCACGGGATTGGAGACTGATATGATCCGAGCAAGTGTGTGACAGCTATGAGAAGATTTATAGATCATGTACCGGTTTAGGCGAGCATATGAAAAATGTGCCCAAATATGCTGCAGATTAAAAGAGGTAGCAGGTGTGACAGGTGAAGCTTGAGTTGCGGCCCTGAGATCATCAATAGGAGTAAAGTGAACAGAGTGAGATGCACCACAGAGTCTCAGATATAGATTGAACTTCGAGAAAGAACTGGTAGATCAAAAGGTTCCTAGCTAGAGAAGGGTCTATGGCCTCAGCTGTTCCTTCCCTAAGCTTTCATATCTGGAACTTCCAATGAAGGTGGGCCGCAAGGGAGGTGCGAGTTTCTAGACAAGGCGGGGATGCTTCCGCTTATAGAGCCAAATTGGTTATTTCTTCATACATCTCGTTATAGCATAGCGTAATTGACCATCTGAAGTTGAATTCAATGTTGTGTCTATTGTAGGGAGCCGCATTCCATTCTCTTGTTCTCACATGACACTATTGAATCATTAGGTACTTAGGGATGAACTCTCGCACCAAGTGTTTCGGATGCGTCGTTATAGATTTCTATAGCGTCGGGATTAGCGCAAGTATAAGAATCTCAGACATTCCCGTATGGGATAGGCTCTATCTGTGTGCTAATTAGAAGCTCATGGGATTCGAGCGTTAGTATTTCTCAACGTGGGGAGAAACATGACAAGGGGAAGGGAGTTTATATCACAAGTCTCTAAATCAAACGTTACACGTCGAAGGTAAGAGGGAACTTAATTTGAAAACAGACGTGAGTTTTACTAGTATTTTGAAGGGCACGCAATCTACGCGTACACTAAGGACGTCAACACGCTATGACTGTCAATACGCTCTGGACGTCGACGGCCCGTGTCCGCGTGGGTAAAACCAACGGTTTCTAATCCATAGTCGAAACGCCACAACTACTTTCTAGCTTGAGAACGGCGGGAATTATTCTCTGGGTTCCATTGAGTTCCTTGCCGAAAACTAGGGAGAACCGGACTCCTGTATAACCCCCAATGAAAGCGGAACAACGTCGAAGGAACTTGCCATAAAGTTCATCACATGGAAACCCCTTACATGCTTTCGCGTTCGACGGCTTAGGTCAGATAGACCGTATCGCGTCGACTTAGCCCGATGTCGATGTATGAATTTACCCGACGAGCGTTTCATCTCGACAGGTTGAGCAGTGTCTATTAATCCTGTTTCACGATACCTATCTCCTAGGTACCTAAGATAGCTAGTTGTTAGGCAACAAGTTTAAGCTACGTCTGGTCTCATCACACATGAAGTCTGAACTAGAAGCTTCGCAGACTGAAGTCCCAGATGGGGCTCTCAACAATCGTGATGTGTAGGGTCGACCTCCTATGCTAGTTGTCTGGGTCATTGATTAGCCTCATGTTGCTCTTTACACTATGAGACATTACGTCCTCTTAGCAAGTTACGACGACATGCATCACAATAAAGTTTTAGTAGGATAAGCGTTCGGCGGCTCTGAATCGGCTGCCTCACAATAAGTCGTATCGAGAGCCCGTTCGTCCAGTTCTGGTGTTATATAAGAAGTGTGCAGATGAGAAGATAATTTACCTGTTCAGACGACTGTACTCTCCAAGGATCAGCAGCCACACACCATAATCTCCATTACCTCCCCAGCATTACCGACTTCAACTTTAAGATGAAGTTCTTCGCGATCACGGCCTTCGTCACGGCCGTTCTGGCTGCACCGTACGTGGTAGACCCCACGAACGCCACCGACCCCATGGATACTACCGGTACCACGAACAGTACGGGCACCGTTGATCCCACCAGTTCCTGGAATACCACCGATCCCACTGATCCTACAAGCTCCTGGAACACCACTGATCCAACTGACCCTAAGAGTTCCTGGAATTCTACTGATCCCACTGTTCCCACGAAGCCATGGAACAGCACGGACAATACATGGACTTGCAAGCCCATATCATATATCTGCAAACCTGACTTCTCCGGCTGGTTCGTCTGCAACGCCGAGGGTTTCTATGTCGTACGTATACCATATATGTTATTAGTTTCCAGCCACTGATGTTTTACAGGACGGCGGAGATTGTCCTACCGAAACCAAGTGCCAGTACATCAATAACATACCTTACTGCATCTAGTCAGCGATGGCAGGAAAGGCAAGTTGGCCAGCGCAGGTATTGGTAGACAAAGTGGGCTCTCGATTGTCTATGCGGTTAGCTAGGGGTTAATATAGTTTTCCATGATTATGGTGTGGGGGAGGATATGGCTGAGAGGTATCTAATAGAAGTAATCGTTGATATCGTTGAGCCTTTGAACGCCGTCATTCCTTAAGTATAGTCGAAGTGGTGAAGTTAAAAATGTCACGCGATTTCTTCAAAATATCCTACGAACTCAATTCCTCGTGATGTCCTTAGTGAAAACTGGTGCTCATTCGACTAGAATTAGAATATACCTGGAATATAACCACGTCTTCCTGGCCTGTAAAGTTGAGGTATCTACCCAGGTATCTACCTCTAAGATACATAAAGCAATGGCCAGGATACGAACTGGATCTGAGCTGTGTTGGGAGCTCTGTAAATCGCTGCCATCTTAACTCTGACGGTCCTGACTGCTCGACTTTTTATCTTTATCATCTGCCCTATCCTTCTTATGCCACCGCTGCAGGATGATAGCAAGATTCTTACTACCGACCACAACACACCACTCACCCCCAGCGCTCCAAGCAACTTGGCGTCCGACAAAGTCCTTGACGGTAATGTTGCTCTGGGAATGGGCTCTGATGGGTTCCTCTACCCGTGTCATATCGTATTTCAATTCCCAAGACTCAAGTGTCTCTTGTGAATAGTTCGTGTTGAGATCTAGGTGCGTCTCAACCTCGACACTGCCGGTGCGTCCCGATACGACTGACTCTCTGTCACTAGCAGCGTCCTTAAGCTTACTGACCGTGTCACCTTTGTGTCTATGCTGAATTGGGGCTAGCCAACCCGGACGTTGAATTGGTTGAGACTTATCGCGCTCTGGATTCCGAACCTCGCTGATGAAATCGTGATAACTTCCTAGTCGAGCGAGATCCCAGAAGAAGATCATAGCTTTCGCATTACCAAATGCTAAGACTGGGTGTTTGTCCTTGTTGTGAAATAGTTTGAAACGAAGGTAGAACTGGTGGCCACAATTCGGTGTCCAGAACTCTAATAAGCGGGTGTATTGAGGTGGACATGCTGATGCCGTCGCGGGAGCGAACGCAGAACGCGTAAGACGTTCTGTATCGCTCGTGGTAGGCGCCTCGGAAATTTCCGGGGGAGGGTCATGAGAGGAGAATCCCTCGATTCGCCACAACACTATTATATCTTCGTGGCAAGCCCTCGAAAGAATGAGATCGCCAAAGAAAGCCACACTAATATACCTATTTATCAGTTTTTCTGCAATCTTATTCGATGGGATGATGAGACGATGATTCACCAGTCTACTATGCCGCTATGCACCTCGGAGGTGAAGAAATGAGGATAATGTATTACGATAGGCTGCGCCGGGTTCTTGCCGTTGGATTTGGGAGGCAAGTCAGGGAGCGTCCACTGTAATATGTCAATAAGATACGCTCACAGTATCTCCTCGATTGGAGGTTGACTTCATACCAAACATATAACGTTGTCGTGACCAGCGGAGAGAACATACCGCCCACTGTTATGGAATGCCTGAGATATGCTAGTTAAAACTAAATATAGACATGAGAGCAGGTAGAGACACATACGACAGTCAACAAACCTGACGAATGACCTTCTCCAGCAAGGAGGCAGACGCATGGCTGCTTAGAATGTGCAGGATCAAGGCTCCATATTCGAACCGTGGTATCTTCTGAAGCAGATGCAATTAAGAGGAAATTCGTCGGACATGTGGCAAGATCATTGATTTCCTCCAGGGACTGTCAGTCTAGTATTTCAGCTAGTCTATAATAAAAACTTACTCCTCCGTGGCCCACAAGGACCTGTACAAGATGTTAGTTAGATTTGCTATAGCGGGATATAAATGATTGTCTGACCTTAACTAACTTCCCCTGAACAACATCGTAGACCTTGATTTTAGCGTCTCTGCCAGCTACGCATAGATAGGGGACTTCGGTCTCGGGATCTTTCGTCCAAGTGCAGCTGCAATTTAAGGCTTCTTTCTACATTGAAGTAAGTTGCGCTGCCTGTAATAGAGACTGCGGCACAACTCACATCGTCATCCCTGAAGAGCTGAACTAGCTCATAAGGGGGATTGGATTTGTTGGAGAGCCGATATATGACAACGTGCTTCTTACTGACAGCAGCGAAGACTGGGTCATGTGTGGCGTCTGCGTAGGGATAGAACTTCACATCGAAGAACTCTTAACAAAGAAAAAGTCAGAGAATATTTCCCAATACGTACGTGGAAGCCTCACCCGTGTCTT